TTAAGATACGTTACTTCCAATTCTCAAGTTGTAGATAGAACTGCTAATATTGTGTATTGAGTTGTCAGTCTGGAGAGAATGGCTGATTTCATGCGGCCTTCGAATTAATTGTTTCTCAAGGCAACACATATTGTTCGTCTGGACTCTTTCTAGATGCAGTTTTTAATTAAAATAATGCACATGTGCACTATGTATTCACCCAAGCTTCATCCAGAGTTATTTTAAGTATCATTAAAAAATACATGTTTTTCCTGGACATTTTTGAAAACTTTTGTATACAAATGACACTGTGGTCAAAATAGACCTATAAAACAATTTAAAATTGCTATATTAGGAGCCGATCACACCAAACACGCTTTTCAATTCTGAAAACTTGAGGCACACTGCACTGCCTTTTTGATGGCTTTAGAAAAGAGCAGTGCACTGTGCTTTTTATGTTGCCAGGCAACCACTATATTAACAATCTTGGTGCTGGAGCGCACATCATCGGGTGCTCTTTTAGCACACAGCTGACTTTTAACTGCAGGCGTACAGAGCTCTCCTTCAAAAAAACGGATGGTGCAGCAGGCAGTTAGAATGTGATATGCAACGTGCAACACGAGCTACGTTTCCATTCACCCTTTTTTAAAAATTCAGTTGATGGAAACGTCAAGATGCACATATATTTTGAAAATGTGAATAAAAAATTTACTACTATGGAAACTTTTACCGATTTTTACAAAAATTACAGTATGCGCATTAAAAAAAGTCATGTGATTTTGTTATAAGAAATCATGTGATAAAAATGTGTGTGAATGGACTAATCAGCAAGCTGAGCACACTGTAAAACATCTGAAATGTTGTTTTGGCTATTCTAAAATTTCAGTGTTCCATTTCAGTATTAGTGTTATTATTATTATTATTATTATTAGTATATGTATTATTAATGACCTCCAGACCTGTCAAGAGCATCTGTGCTCTGCATCTCATGGCTTCAAATGCCACCAGACGTTCATTGTGTGTCGGCATTGTCTGCAGTCTGAGGTAAAAGTCATTTATTAAATAAAGAAAAGATTCATGCAGGTTCTCCTACTGCAGTAAATTGCATTTTTACTTAGTTGATATTTGGCGGCAATTAATCAGGAAGTGACAATTTTGTTCTTGTTGACTTGTTGGATGGAAATGCTGCTTTATTTGTACATCTTTTATGCGATATTGCTGTTTTGTGCATACATTTCATTTGTGCTTTCGGATGGAAACATAGCTAATGTCTGCCATTTTAAAAAAAGTCACTCAATCATTTTTTTCAAAAGAAGCGCTTCTCGCCAAAAATAAAACGTGCTCAGTGTGATCGGGATTCCAGTCAGCATTTAAGTAGGCACTCTCATTTTGTAAACTACAATTAAGTGTCTGCACACATGCGATCATGTTGTCCACCACTGTTTATGCACAAGTCTAGAGACTAAACATTATACACGTTCTCACGACGTCACTGCAAAATTATGTGTTTGTCATTTACATGACGAGGAAAGGGGTATTTTTAAAATGGAACACTTTTAACAGTTTTCTTTGTTCTGTATTTTACAAACAGTTAGCAATGTTTTTGTTTTAAATAACATAAAATGGTTTGACGTTATTGGTAAAGATAATATCCCTAAGAGGAGAAAAAGCTAATGCATAGCAAATAAACACCATCAATAAAATCACAGTTCTCACAGAGAAAGGGTTTCTAAGTGTGAAGATGTAAACACATCCGCCATCTGCTTTCTCTACTTTTGTGTGTCGTGTCCGTTGTCTTGTTCATCTCCGTTTTGTCTTTGTCTTGTCTGTGTTTTTCCGTGTTGTTGTCACTTGTCCTACCCCTGTTTACAAGTTACCTGATTTAGCAAACAAGCCCCCAAACACTCACTATTCTGACTCACAAACACACACAAAGGATGCCACAAGCACAGGTACACCATCGAAAACAAAGGGCTTGTAAAAATAGCTGCTTTTCCTTTGTGGCGTATCTGTGTGTACTTGCAGAGAGGTGTTGGATACAATCAGATCCCCGATGACCTGAACAATAGCACACTCTGAGTGACACGGTCCTCCCTGAGGACAGGCAGATGTCACCTTCTCTATGCCTTGCAAGAAAAGGCATCCAGGGAACCAGATCAAAACATACATCAGACAGCAGCCAATATAGTCATCCTTCCTGCGCAGGAAGAGAAAATCTAGAGCTTGAAGGCAAAATAGGAAGTGTTACCCTAAAGTGTGTCACCATCCCTCTCACATACACACATGCGCTCACACTCATGTTGAAAAAAACATGCTTCCCCCATTAGTGTGGCCTAGTTTACCTACACTGTAAAACCGGACAGTGAAATGAGTTCATTTCCCTCACATATTTTAATATCTCATGATACTTGAAGTAATATTTCATCCACAAATTATAATTCTGTCATCATTTACTCACCGTTGACTTGTTCCAGACAAGTTTGATTGTGATTGTTTTGTTGAACACCAAAGAAGATATTTTGAAGAAATAGATTTTTGAGGACTTGTGGTTGCGTGGGTTTCCACCTGGTGCTTCGAGTTCCTCCATAGTCCAAAGACAAGCCGTACAGGTGAATTAAATAAGCTAAATTGGCAGTAGTTTACGTGAGTGTGTACAAGAGTGTGTGGGTGTTTCCCAGTGTTGGGTTGCAGTTGGAAGGGCATCCGCTGCGTAATACATGTCCTGGACAAGTTGGCGGTTCATTCCGCTGTGGCAAGCCCTGATTAATAAAAGGACCAAGCTCGAAAAGAAAATGAATAATGCTTTTTGAGGAAAAACAAATACTATGGAAGTCAAGGCAGCAAGAGGGGGCAACCCCAGATTAATAAAGGGACTAAGCCGAAATGAAAATGAATGAATGAATGATTGAATGGAAGTCAAGGGTTACAGTTTTCTTTTTTTTTTGTAGATATTTACTTTTGTGTTCAACTGAAATAAAAAAATTAAGTAAATGATGGAAGAATTAAAAGGAGAACTAGCCCTTTAATACAAACAAGTTATGTTAACTTAAAATGTTATTTTATTAAAGTGACCCTGAACTGAAGGAGTAGACAGATTTCATGTTTTCAGCTTGCTTTGCATCTGACTGTATAAGGAAAGTGTTAATTAGTGTTATTCTGTATGGTTTTGCATATGATTAACATATGGATGCCTAATCAGCCTGCCATTTTGTGATATGCTGGGATTTACTTTTCCATGTATGTTGAAATATCTAGGGTTACCATAGTGATGAGTTGAGCCTTTGGGGATGGACTGAAAAAAACTTAAATTCTTTACAGTATATAGTGCAAAATCCACAGCTCGATCATAGTAACATTGGCACATGCTATTGCTAACTAATGCTTAACCATACACATTTGAATTTATCCAAAGTAATTTTCACAACAATTTGTAACTTTCTGATTTAGTGGCTCATTTGTATAAATTTGTACAATTGTACATTTTTGTATGCTTTTTTCAGCACAGTTACAATTTGGTTTAGGGGACTGGGGTTTAGGGATAAGCCTCTTGTAGAAATAAAATGTTTTCGTACAAATTAAATTACATGAATTGGGATGGTGTTGACTGCACAAATTAGTTATTTGATATGTCAATTAAATCATAATCAACATTGTGATGAGTTGAATATTATTAGTGAGCGACACATGGGTTTCGTTCCCAATCATCAAAAAAACATGTTGAATGAAATTAAGTTCTGTTGACTTAAAAATTAGTTTGTTGACTCAATAGCTTTGTGGCATTATGTTTTGAGTCATTTAAATTTGTAAGGTTTTACAGTGTAGTTGAATACCACAAACTGCTCAGTCTTGGGTCTCAATCGCAACACAGTTCATTGTGAATATGTACCCCGTCTACATTTCTGGAGAGTGTGAATTATGTAGCCAGAGGTGTTTAAAGTGAAGCGGGACGCTGACAACAGAAGTGCAGATCCAAGTGCAGATTTAAGTATACAGATATAATCAGGCAAGCGGCGGCCAACAAGGCTCAGCAACTAGTGTGTGTGTGTCTGTGCTGCTTTTAAAGTCCATGTCATCAGTTCTGAACAGCTTCAACTGTGTGTTAGCAATCAGCCAAGATTAGCAACCGGTGTGTGTGCAGTGCATGACTGCCCTGCTTAAAAAAAAAACACAGCTTAAACCAGCCTAGGCTGGTTGGCTGGTTTTAGCTGGTTGAACAGCCTGGTTTTAGAGGGGTTTTGGCCATTTCCAGGCTGGTTTCCAGCCATTCCTAAATAAATGCTGCGGGGCGGTATGATGCATTCTGTTCATTTTCGTGCTACCAGCTGACTGATTACCACCATAAAGACGGCTTTTTCGCGGTTACCAGTTTGCTCAGTGGTTTGTCGTGTATCTCAATGGACCTGAGAGGCGGAACCGATTTGACCACGACGAAAGGGTATAATTAGGGCAAAGAACGGTTCCAGAAAGCAGCTAAAACAAATGGAAAAATAAAATTAACAAGTAAAAAATAGGGTGAGAACATGGTAAGATCTGAAAACGTGGTAAAAAAAAAAAAAAAACAGGTCGCCACGAGGGCTTTTCTTTTTTTGGATTGCTTTTGAAAACATTGTCGGTTGGGTTTAGGGAAGGGGGTGATCGGGTCAATTGGTGCTTTTGAAAAGACTATCGGTTGGGTTTAGGGAAAATGGTGGATGGGTGGGTCAGTTGGTCAGTCAGTCGGCAACAGCCTCTGGTGGATTGATGCGAGAAGAGCAGAAATTTAAGATCTTAAAAAGTGTACAAAGGAGCCTGGTGGATTTGCGAAAGCAAAACCTGCAAAAAATTATAGCTCCTGGGACATATTTTACACTCTCCAGAAATGTAGACAGGGGTACATATTCACAATGCGCCCGGGTTGCTCTATCAACTGTTAAATTTTCACCCATGGTTGTTAAACTTGCAGGTAAGTCTCAGTGGTTAACTCAGCACCTCTAAAAGAGCAATAGAATTTTGATAGCATTTCCTGTTTCTCTTTGATCTAGCGAGAAAGCCCTGCTGGTGAATAAATTCGAGCTGAGCATCAGGACAGAGGCTACGCATGGTCTGATTTTGTGGAGCGGAAAGGGAGTTGAGCGCTCTGACTACATCGCCCTCGCCATTGTGGATGGAAGAGTACAGATGACCTATGACCTCGGCTCCAAGCCTGTGGTGCTGCGCTCCACTGTACGGGTCAACACCAACCACTGGATACGAATTAAGGCCAGCAGGTAAAATGCTAAAAATCTTTTCCAGCATCTCCACACATTTACAGTAAGGTTGTTTTTTCTGCTAGATGGGTCAAGCTAGTAGTTCAGACTTCTGCTTGCAATACCAAAATATTCAGTGTTGATTCACTCTCAACATTTTCAGTGTTCAGGAGAAATAGAAATGTGTTTATATTTGATTACTTTATCTATAATTTCACACTTTTTTTAAATATGTTTTTTGTTTGTTTAATATGTACACTACTGTTTCATCATTTGAGGGAAGTATTTTTTTAAGGATTCTTATGTTCATGAAGGCTGATTTTATACAAAAAACAGTAATATTGTGGAATATTATTACAATTTAAAATCCTTTTTATTTTAAGATATTTTAATTACACATTATAAAGCTTCATTCAATTACAAAGCTATACAAGTCATTCTGGACTTCAATGCCACATGGTCATTCAGAAATCAACCTAATACAGATGTGTTGGCTTTAAAAATAATAAATATTTCTTATTGTTATGAACATTAATTGAAATTTAATTTGAATTGCAAAAATATATGTGCAGCGAAAGTTTCAGAATACTTTCAGTCTCCCACAAATGCCAATATTGGTGCATCCCTAGTGGTTATAGAAGATAGTGGTTATAGAAGATACTGTAGGCCTATTTTAAAAGAACCTTGTATATGTGAGTCTTTAGTATCAATAATAATGAAATTTCTGACACTTTGAGCAGTTTAATGCAATTGCACTGACTAAAAATATCAGTTTCTTTAAAAAGACAAACCACAAAATTTCGGGGGGAAAAATCAAATATGATCAAATATCATGCTTTCTTTTATTAGAAAACGGATTCGATTTTTTTCTGATGCTATCATTCTTGCTGTTTTAAAATGGAGTGGTCATTTTTACCCAAAGCCCTCTCACGCTGTGACATTTTATATTTTACACAGTTTGACATACGAAATGTTTGCTGGAGACAGTGGTAATTTGTGTTTACCACAGTTGTTCCACAGAAATGTTTTCCAGCAGTGGCAGTCATTTATATTTGCCTCAGGCTTGCCATAGAACTGTTTGCCAGAAAAATGGTGGACAATTATATTTACCAATCTTTGATGTAAACATATTGTTAAAGTTATATACAATACAGTACTGGCAGTTATATACAGTTATATACAGAGTTGCCACTACCAGTTAAAACCTGCAACCCCCCACACACACACCATTACTACCATTTTGTTTGGTAATTTAGTGCACATTAACCACCAGTGTTCAGAATTTATGTTTTGAGGGTTGACCTCAGTTTTTTTCTTTATTATGTCCATTTAATTTGTCACACTTTTACCACAGATCAAGTAATGTCCAGTTTGCTACAGGTTGCCACTACTAGTAAAAACCAGCAATCCTCAGTTTTTTTCCTCATTACTACCATTTCATATGTCACAAAATTGGTGTAGATCGACTATTGTTCAGTTTGCCACAAGTTGCCATCACATGTATATATGTACAAACCTGCAATCCATTTTTTTCTCATTGTAACCATTACATTTTTCACACATTTACTGTAGATCGACTTTTGTCCAAAGTTTGCAGCAGGTTGCCACTAGCAGTAAAAATCTGCAACCCCTGTTTTTCCCTCATTACTAGATTTGTCGCTTTTTTAGTCTAGATCGACTATAGTCCAAAGTTTGCTGCAGGTTGCCACTACCAATAAAAACTTCAATCCAATTATTTTACTAATTACTACTACTTAATTTGTGACAAATTTGGTGCAGATCAACTGTTGTCTAAAGTTTGCAGCAGGTTGCCACACCAGTAAAAACCTCCAATCTGATTTCTTTTCTAATTACTACTATTTAATTTGTCACAAATTTAGTGCAGATCGACTATTGTCCAAAGTTTTCAGCAGTTTGCCACTACTAGTAAAAATCTGCAACCCTATGGTTTTTCCTTCATTACTACTTTTTAATTTGTCGCAATTTTAGTCTAGATCAACTATTGTCCAAATTTGCTGCAGGTTGCCCCTACTAGTAAAAAAACTCCAATCCAATTTTTTTTACTAATTACTACTATTTAATTTGTGACAAATTTGGTGCATATCAACTATTGTCCAAAGTTTGCCACTGGTTGCCATTACCACTAAAATCCTGTAGTCCTCAGTTTTTCTTCCTCACTACTACATATTTATATATTATAAATTTGGTGCAGATTGACTGTTGTCCAAAGTTTGCTACAGGTTGCCACTACCAGAAAAAACCTGCAATCCTCTGTTTTCCATCTCATTACTACCATTTAATTTGTAGCAAATTTACTGCTGATTGACTATTGTACAAAGTTTGCTGTAGGTTGCTTCTACTAGTAAAAACCTCCAATCCAATCCCCCCCAACCCAAATTACTGCTATTTTATTTGTGATAACTTTAGCACAGATTGAATATTGTCCAAAGTTTGCAGCAGGTGGCCACTACCAATAAAAACCTGCCATCCTCTCTTTTTTCCTTATTACTACCATTTCATTTGTCGCAATTTTAGTCCAAATTCTCTTTTGTCCAAAGTTTGTCACAGGTTGCCACTACTAGTAAAACCTGCAATCCACATTTTCCCTATCGCATATTTAGCGCAGATCTACTGCAAATTTAGCGAAAAGTGTTAGAGAAATTAGGTTTTAAGGGTTGACTCTTGTGTTCTCTCCACAGAGCGCTCAGAGATGGCTCTCTGCAGGTTGGTAATGAGGCAGCTGTCACTGGGTCTTCACCCTTGGCTGCCACACAGCTGGACACAGACGGGGCTCTCTGGTTGGGTAAGTTCATCTTATGCCCATTTGCTCAATCGTAGCTCTTTTACAAACCAACTATGTACATTTTCTCCAACACAGCAGTCTGCAGTTTGTAATGTCTAATTGGATCTCTCTTCTTAATGAGTGCTTTTGAAGGGCTGCGCTTCTATTAGCTCTGAGAATCATACTAAAACATTAATGTAAAGATGCAGTAATATCTTATAGTAGTTAAATATTTACTGCAGGATAAGTCTGTGCTGCATGTATATTAGTCTTTAGATTAATGTTGCATGATATATGTTGAAATAAAATTGAGTATACAATATTGTGAGTGGCAAAAATTATAACAGTGAATTAATGAGTAAAATAAACAATATTCACCAGACAATAAGCTGCCTGCATGCAAACTGTAGATTTTTTACAATCTAAAAATGTATACATACATTGAAATAAATGCATATGCTGGCAGACTGTCAAAATAAATGTTTGATTGAATGCTATAATAAAGAAATTAAGAAATTTTTACATCATTTGTATTTACGTTAGTATTGTAAGTTTACTGTGCTATACTGTGATAAAATACTGTGATACCAGGAATAAAACCCAGCATCTAGTGATGTCTATGCGTTCCACACTTCAGGCTGTAATTAACTGCAAAAGATTTGCAACAAAGTATTAATAAAGAGAAAGTTTGTTTTATGATTATTATTCTGTCCCTTTACTTTTGGTCCCTTAACAAGTGGGAGGCACATATGCAAATTGTTGTAATTTCTACCTCATTCACCTGATTTGGATGTAAAATTAAAGCTGACAGTCTGCAGTTAAAGCACCTCTTGTTTGTTTCACTTTAAATCCATTGTGTTGGTATCGACTATTGTCCAAAGTTTGCCACAGGTTGCCACTATCACCAAAAACCTGCTGTCCTCTATTTTTCCATCTCTTTACTAAAATTTCATTTGTTGCCAATTTACTGCTGATCGACTATTGTCCAAAGTTTGCTGCAGGTTGCCACTACTACAAAAAACCTGCAATCAACAGTATTTTCCTCATTACCATCATTTTATTTGTCACAAATTTACTGCAGATCGACTATTATCCAAAATGTGCAGCAGGTTAACACAACCAATAAAAATCTGCACCCTCTGTTTTTCCCTCATTACTACCATTTCATTTGTCACAATTTCAGTCTAGATCGACTATTGTCCAAAGTTTGCTTCAGGTTGCCACTACCAGTAAAAACCTCCAATACATTCCCCCCCTAATTACTGCTATTTGTCACAAATTTAGTGCAGGTTGACTATTGTATAAAGTTTGCAGCAGGTTGCCACTACCAGTAAAAACCTGCAATTCTGTTTTTTTTTTTTTTTTATTATTACTACTATTTCATTTGTTGCAATCATTACTTTTGGTCCCTTGACAAGTGGGAGGCACATATACAAACTGTTGTAATTTCTACACTGTTCACCTGAATTAGATGTAAGTAACCTCAAATTGAAGCTGACACTTTGCAGTTAAAGGATAAAAAGTATGTTATACTTTAAATCCACTGTGTTGGTGTAGAGAGCCAAAAATGTTGAAATTGTGTTGATGTCCAAATATTCATGGACCTGACTACAATTGAAATTAGAATTATTAGCCCCTCTGAATTATTAACTCTCCTGTTTATTTTTTTCCCCAATTTTCTGTTTAATGGAGGGAAGATTACTTCAACTCATTTCTAAACATAAAGGTTTTAAAAACTTACTTCTGATAACTGATTTATTTTATCTTTGCCATGATGACGGTAAATAATATTTGACTAGATATTTTTCATTACACTTCTATACAGCTTAAAGTGAGACTTAAAGGCTTAACTAGGTGAATTAGGTTAATTATGCGGGATAGGGTAATTAGGTTAGTTATTGTATAACAATGGTTTGTTCTGTAATCGCAAATTTAAAAATTAGCTTAGAGGGGCTAATAATTTTGTCCCAAAAATGTTTTTTTTTTTTTTTTTATAAAAACTGCTTTTATTCTAGCCGGAAAAAAACAAACAAATAAGACTTTCTCCAGAAGAAAAAATATTATCAAACTTACTGTGAAAATTTCCTTGGTCTGTTAAACTAATTATTTAAATAAATATTAAATATTTTAAAAAGAAATTCAAAAGGGGGCTAATAATTCTGATTTCAACTATATATATATATATATATATATATATATATATATGTATGTGTGTGCAACTTAAGCAACTTTTTTTACATTTAGTTTTGTAGTTCTGCCCAAACAAATATTTCTTGCATTTTTTAATTGTTTAAGTTCATTTGATTGACAATGTAAAAGCTGTTAGCTAGATTTGATGTTTCATTGTTGAGATAAACATGTTTTTTAAGGGTCTCTGATACATTGCTTTTATTATTTATCTTTATTTTATTAATCAACATTAACTGTGTGCGTCAGCCGGCAGTTTTTGTTATGCTTATTATTTTTTAGGCTCCCTCAAAACACACAGGCACCCACATTTCCAGTGTGGATTATAATTTTATTTTAATAATAAATAAAAAAAATGTAGTTTTTTTAATTTGTCAACTCTCGTTATTTCCTATATATGGCTTTTGTGCTTTTATAAAATGGGAGTTGGTAAACATATTCAAAGGCATGCACAGATTTTCATTACTTTATTATTATTATTATTATAGTTTTCCATATCTGCAATGCCTGTATTTTGGCTTTTTTTTTTTGCAGTCCACTTAGAATCCAACATGGAAATCAATGTTTTCTTTATTGTCATTGATTGTTTTGAAATTCAAATGACATTAACATGCCTGTGTTTTTATTTCTGTAATAAATATGGCTGTCAAGCCAGGATCTTGATGGTTTATTGTGGGTATGTTGTTTACATGAAGAAATCTGTGTTACAAGTACACAACAATTCTTATAATGAATTATATTTTGAATTTAAATAGTATTTGTCTTGTGTTTACATTAATTTTACACTCGAATAGCCAAAATTACAAGTTTCAGTCTTTTAAATGCGATTAATCGCGATTCATTTTTTTTTTGAAGTGCGATTAATTCGTTAATTTTTTTTAATCGATTGACAGCACTAATATATATATATATATATATATATATATATATATATATATATATATATATATATATATATATATATATATATATATATATATCTTCATAATTATCACCATATTTCACAATTCAGACTTTATACCTCACAATTGCAGGCTTTTAATAATAAATATTATTACATTTCAAAAGAAAAAAACTCAAAATTGTGAGGTAAAAAACTGCATGAACCTTACTTAATAAGAAATATATAATAATAACTATTGTTTTGGTTTGTTTGTAAGTTTTGTTTTTCAGAAATGAGCATCCAAAGCTATGTGCCCTGTGCAAAGTGGATTTTTAGTTGTTAGTTTTTATTAAAAAAAATGAAAGAAAGTGTAAACACCCACATTTTGGAACAAAAAAAGTATTGTTCACACTCTAAGTTCACACAATTTCTTGCAATGTCAGTTTTCTTCCAGTATCATGCAGCCCTTAACTCTAATGTCTCAGCATTTGCCACCTCGTCCTCCATTGGCAAACCTGTTAAGCTTTAAACAGATTATTTAATCCATTTCCAGCCTGAAAATCTTCCTTAAAAATGTTGGGAAAAGTATTCGCCCAAACGTCCAGCCAGTGGAGCAGGTGCTGTGGATGCCCGGTGGCTAGAATACATTATCCTCAAACATCAAGAGCTCCATCCTAAAATCCCTTCTTTCAGACTTGATTTTTTATTTACTTTTTCGCATGCAATTCACTTGAAATTATCCTCGTCTCTCCTCCAATCCGATTATAGACGAAACACAGCGAGGCAAAAGAAAACAAGGAAAATGTTAGCAAACAGTAACAGGAGGACACATATTTTGGTGGCAGACTGAGTTGGTTTTCGACAGTGTCAGGTCCCTGAGGGAAGTGAACATTATTCTCTGTTTCAGGGAAAGCTGTCAAAAAAGTGTCCCTGGAGCCGGGCTTCCCAAAAACACTATTTGAACTGCTCACCTGTTCCTCCTGCGTCTCTATTTCTTCACATTACAGCCTCTGTGTCTCAGGCGGGATCACGTTTTAACAGTCTTTCTATAAGGCTGAGCTGCAGAAAGACTGTGCTAGATAATGTTTTTTTAGGTTACGTGTAGTGTTTACGTGTTTGTGTATACCCAGGGGGTCAGAGTACATAACTGAAAGAAAAATAGCAAAACAAAAAAGTTTTTTCTTAAGATTTGTGGTATTTGTATTAGAGTTGCAGTTTTGAAAATGTTTATAACATGTTTTAAATCAAATAAATATTTTTCAGATGTAATAATTTAATAACTATAGGAATGTAATGTGGAGTAGCCATCAAGAAAAAGTTCTGAATATTTTCTTACACCAGAACTGTCTTTAAAAATCAAGGGAATTTTTTTATGCTTTATTTATACAATTATGAACTATTATTTTAGAAATTTTTAAATATAAATTAAAAATAAATGTAAAAAAATAACAAATAATGTACAATATGAATAATGTTTAAAATATAAGCTTTTTAAAATAAATGTGTACCATTTGTACACAATTATATAATAACAATAATAATAAAAATAATAATTTGAAACAAAAATGTTAATAACAACAATATAATACAGAAAAAAAAATATATATATATATATATATAGAGAGAGAGAGAGAGAGAGAGAGAGAGAGAGAGAGAGAGAGAGAGAGAGAGAGAAATACTGTTTTGTTTTATCAATAATAATAATAATGTAAACCAAATTACATATAAAATATACATTCCTAGTTGTAAGAGCAACAAATAATAACTTGCTTGACTTTTAGTTGATCGTTTGGAAAAGTGACAGAAGGTAGATTTTTCCATTTACTCATCTGTTGAACTGCATCCTAATTATCACAAATACTGCAGAAGACCTACTGAAACCCAAGATTCTCACAGAAAAGTTAAAGTGAAGAAAAAATCATGGTTTGTGGTCACATTCAGTATGGGGCATGCGAGAGATCTGCAGAGTGGATGACAACTTCAACAGCTTGAGGAATCAAGACATTTCTGCTGCCCATTACATTACAAACCACAAGAGAGGGTAATTTCTTCAGCAGGATAGCGCTCCCTCTCATACTTCAGCCTCCACATCGAAGTTCCTGAAAGCAAACAAGGTCAACGTGCTCCAGGATTGACCAGCCCAGTCACCAGATATGAACATTTTTGAGCATGTCTGATGTAAGATAGAGGAGGCATTGAAGATAATCCAAATAATCTTGATGAACTCTAATAGTCCTGCAAATAAGTTTTCTTTGCCATTCCAGATGACTTTATTTTTAAGTTATTTGGGTCATTGCAGAGATGTATGGATGCAGCCGTAAAACTCATGGGCATCATACACAATATTAATTCTTTTTCCACTGCATTGTGGCTTTCTATTCTATATTGTACATTATTTCTGTTAAGTGACAAGACTTTTGTCTAAGCAAAGTTAGACCTTACTGTCCTAATTAAATAATTAAAAATCAAGGCATGATCATATTTTTTTTGGTAAAATAAACGTAATCTAGAGGCCTTTGTCTTTCATATAAGCCACTTCTGATACCAAATGATCAACAAGAAGTCAAGTTATTATTTGTTGTTCTTAAAACTTGGATAGGCGACAAGACTTGTCAGCTAGTCAAACACCACTACTGCTACAATATAATAGCTACTGCTAATACTACAATTAACAAAAATACAATTTTAAATCAACTATTTAAATATAGTTTGTCTTTGTTTTGTTATTAACATAGAAAAATATATATTATTACTTAAAAGAAAGAATTATCAAAATAAAATTTATTTCAGAAATGAATATGTCAAGAAGAGTCATACTTGATTAGACAGAAAAAAAGCAAAATTGTGATAACATGCAATGTAAAACACATTTCTGACATCCTGTGAGTATATTTTGTGTAACTGAATAGCTGTTTACACCAGTTTCACATGGTCAACCTTACATCTGGATCACCTTTAATTATTTATTTAGACCTGCAATATAAATACAATATGATAACTCATCCTGACCTTTGTCCCTTCTCTCTGTCTTTCAGGTGGACTGGAGGAGCTGTCTGTGGCTCGACGGCTGCCCAAAGCTTACAGTACAGGCTTCATTGGCTGCGTCAAAGACGTGATAGTGGACGGCGTGGAGCTGCATCTGGTGGAGGACGCCTTAAATACTCCCAAAATATCACACTGTTCTGCCAAATAATCTGGCAACGCGCTCCTCCCAACACCATGTCTACTGCTGTAATTATTTTTTCTATTTTTTGTATACTTTCCTTTCGCCTTTTATATTGGAAAAAAAAAAATTACATTGTTTTAATTACACTTTTGTTTGTTTGGTTTATTTTCATCCCCTCCCCCCCTGTCTTTGCGTCCAACCCGTAATCGTGCTCTCATTCGGCGAACATGGTGTCATAAAGACTAGCAAAAAGTCCCATTTACGTCTTTGATGTTTCTACGGTAAACACCACGATCATTACTTGAACAGTGGCAGATGAGATTCAGGATTGCCTTTTCTCAGTGCCATAACATGATCCATTCATTCCTCTGAGCTGCTGTCGCTGTGCTCCTTGCTACGTTTTAAAGGTCTAAAAAATAAACAGCTTTCTGCTTTATCGACAGATGACAGCAACTGTTAAATACACCGAGCAAGACTATGAAACCACTAACGAGTAGCTGACGTAACATTAGCATTCCTCAAAAATCACGTCATTGACCTGTGAGATGTTATAAATATTGATGAAAAATACACGAGACTGTGACTTTTTGAAGATGCTATTTTTTTTTTTTTTTTGGTTGCTATCATTCATGTGTTGTGCATATCTAAAATATAAATATATATAGAGAAATACATATATGCTATAAGACCACTTGTTGCATGCATCTTTTTAGAAGTGTTGGGTTGATTTTGCCTCAGTTTTGTTTTGTTTTGTTTTGCTCATCATTCCATTCAGGGCAGAAATGTAGCTTACTACATTGCAATTTTGACATCTGGTTATTTCAATTTGGGAGATTAATTTTATATCTGCTATTTGTCAATCTGAGCAAATTGTGAGTGAGTGTGTGTGTGTGTGAGTGGATGTGTTGGAAAAAACGGTTGTTGCAAGAAGTCAACTCTGGGAGGCGCTGTAACACAGGAAGAGACTTAAAACACATAAGGTGGACAAACAACGAAAGAAAAAAACATTGACATTCTTGGCATGCTTCATCATCGAACAAATTTCACTACACTTTTTTTCCCCCCTATTGTATCTTATCAAATGTCGCTTTAAAAATGCTGCCAGCACTTGCTATGTAAAAAAGGGATGATGTATGTAAACCCCCCTTGCATCCTGTTCAACATGTTCGGTAACCAGTGAAAATAGTAATGCATGGGTTTGTCAAGTCAAAATGGTTTTGTAAACCTGTTCCGAGACAAATGCAATGCTGTGGTGCTGTTCGGTGTGAGAAATAGAGTTTGATACCTGATGCTTTGCAATATTCCACTACAAATATGCCTGTTTAGGGTAAAGTATCTTTTTTGTTTTTGTTTTATTTTTTTTTTACAAATCCTCTTTGGACATGCAAGATCATAATCGTCATCCTGTACAGCCCTGTGATTTTCAAGTGTAAATTTGTTACTGAGTTTCTTTTTCTTTTTTTAGTATTATACACTGGAAGTGAGTTATGGGATACTGGGAATAATGGATGATTTTTTTGGGTCGTCACAGGATGTCATGTTACTGCACGAGACGTATGGACCGTCCACCTTTTTTTTAGTATAGCGCTTTCACCTTCACTTTTCCAGCGGACTGGATTTCTGATCTTTTTTTTTTTTGTAATATTTTTTTTGCTTTGTTTTTTGACATCCTCCTCCAGTAGCTTTTGCTCTCAAGGGAAGCGAGAACCGCATTGGAAATCCTGCTGTGTGAATGGAAACTGAGAAATGCCTTAAAATCATTCACCGTTCACAGGTGACAAAAGTTCATGTCCATACTGTTCTGTGCTCTCACTTCTATTAGCCTCATCATGTAAATTAATTCATAAATGTTAATAAATATATTAATAATAATGCGTAAGAGAATTTCCAGAAGGCCTCGATAATAGTGGTTCTGGACTCTACAAGAATACTATTTACTGTACAAATACTATTTTCAGTATCTTATTTATGTCTTAAGAGGATTCTCAGTCTGGCATTTGTAAACTATTGATTGATTGATTGATTGATTGACTGACTGACTGATTGATTGATTGACTGAACTAGATCTGATGGGCAGTGCAGAATGAGAGGCATGACGTTACCATTACTAACTTTATTACTTGTGTCTTGTGTTCCTCCAACCACCATACAAATAAAATGTAAAACAAACTGATCTGACTACTGTAACACTTACTCCTAAATAATGTCTGTGAATAAATCCCTCCAGTTCCCAAATTGTCTAATGAAGTCTCGCTAGTATTGTATTTTGTATAAAAAAAATAATAAATAATCATAAATACACACACACACACACACACACACACACACACATATATATATATATATATATATATATATATATATATATATATATATATAGGTTTTTCATGGGTTTAAGACATGTGCTATAGGTGAATTGGATGAGCTAAATTGTCCTTAGTGTATGTGTGTAAATGGAAGTGTATCGGTGTTTCCCAGGGATAGGTTACAGCTGGAAGGGCATACGCTGCGTAAAATATATGCTGGATAAGGTGCGGTTCATTCCGCTGTGATGACCCCAGATTAATAAAGGGACTAAGCCGAAAAAGAACATGAATGAATGATGACAGTAAATAATGTTTTTGGTTAGGGTTAGGGCAGGTTAGGGTAATTAGGCAAGTTATTGTATAAAAATGGTTTGTTCTGTAAACTATCGAAAAATATATAGCTAAGGGTCTAATCATTTTGACCTTAAAATGCTTTTTAAAAAATTACAAACTGCTTTTATTCTAGCCGAAATAATATTATCAGACATACTATACATACTATATATATATATATATATATATATATATATATATATATATATATATATATATATATATATATATATATATATATATATATATATATATAATTTGTTTATAAGAGTGGACTTTTTTTACAATACATATTATAAGTCTGAATAATTCTGAATAAGCATATTTTAATATGTACTTTTTAAAATTAAAACACAGAAATGTCCCATCAATCGGGTAAAAAAGAAAATTCTACGGAAGTCAAAAATAGTACAAAAAAACTGTAAGGGATAACATAATTTTCTTTTTTTTGGGAACAATTTCTTCAGGAGCAAATCGAATGTAAATCAGTCCATCATAATGCATTGGATTTCTCAGTCTGAAATGTCATGTTAGCCAAGCGGATCCAGGGTTTCTTCAGTCCACAAGCTCCCAGCAGTGTAATAAAGGGGCTTTTACTGTGAGGAACAAGGCTTCAGCTGTCTGTCTGCATCAGGGGATCTGTGGCTGCCATTGTTCCTCCTCATGGGCTTTTAGTCTGGGCTTCAGAGTCCTCGGGCTGCGAGGTCAAAGGTCATTTAGCAACGGAGCTGGTCAGCAGCACTGGCTCTTTCTGCAGTGAATCATTTCCTTATAGGAATAGTTCACACTGACATAAAAATAGTTCCAAAGAAAGCAATGTGACTTGTTTTGTTCCTCAATGCACTCACTGTTTTAAAGTAATCGTTTCAGTGAAAAAAATTCAATGACTCAATATCTATAAATAAATATAAATACATTTATCTTGTGAATTTAACTAGGCTGAACACTTGTTAGATTTTTTTTGTTAATTTTAGATTTCAGTTTCATTTTATTTCAGTGAATATATATATATTGTATATTAAAGTTATATAACAGAAAATGTTGTTCATAATGTTTAGTATTACTACGAAGGTCATACTAAGTTATAATTATAAAAAGGGAAGATATACTGAATCCTAATGACAGAAATGTAAAATCAAAGTCTCAAATCAACCCCAAAAAAACAATAGGTTGTAATTAGTATATGCAGTCTTAAAATTGTCAAATGTTTAAGATACTTAGTCATGAGAAAAAACATAAGATAGTTCATCCTCAATACTCAATGCAGAACTAATCAATACTGTACACTTGGCCCTGTTTTTATGGTTTTTTTTTTTAGGTTTCACATGTTTATAAAAGATGTCATTCATTCATTTATTCTTTTTTTCAGCTTAGTCCCTTTATTAATCTGAAGTCACCACAGCAGAATGAACCGCCAACTTATCCAGCAAATGTTTTACGCAGCGAATGCCCTTCCTTCTGCAACCCAACACTGGGAAATTATAATAGATGTATTTTAATATATTATTTTATCATAATCTTGACTATATATATATTTATATATATCATATATCCATGAATATTTTAGTGCAGTGATGTTTCCCAATAGGCCTTTATATGGGTGAATTATAGAAAAACAGACACGCTGTGTCCTAAAGTATAAAGTTACACATACACATTGTTTGCATTGGCTCTTATACAGCGCACAGAAAACACCTGCTCAGACTCTGTTCAGAAGGAGAAATCCATAGATAAAGCCTTGCGTTTCAGCAAATTGCATAACCGTGTCGGCCAGCAGATTAATCTCCCGCAGGCGGGTGACGTCATGCTAGCCTGACACTGATGCCACCTTCAAATCACCCCGACACAAAACTGGGTGAGACCCAAATGGAAACTGCTGAAAAAACACACTGGGCTTTTCTCCCCTACTTAAAATAAGAGCATCGCAGCTTTATTAATAGAGTATTAATAAACATCTCTGGAAATGAAATAGAGGTGATAACTACTGTACATGGAAAGAACTGCTAAAATAAGAGTGTGATGATGACTGGAGTGACAGAAGTGAATATATAGAATGTACATCACTTCATCACAACCCTCTCTGAGGTGCACTTTGGAAATTTAACCGTTTAACTGGCATTGCAACTGTTTGTACAAAGATTAGCATTAAATTTTTTTTTTTTTTAAATCTAAATTTGCTTAGAGGGCTGTCAGGAACACAATTTAACCAAAGAAATTGGTGAAAATGTTCTCGTAGTTTAAAAAGTCAGACAGTAAAGTGACAATCGATCCTAAACAATTATATAATATCAAATAAAAACAGTTTGGAATATTTTATATTTTCATTATTTGTCTTCTTGGCAGATATTGGTCCTTGATTAGGGTTTTATTAATACCAAAAATGCATATATAAGGCAATAATATAAATAAATAAATAAAGTACAAAATATATATTTAAAAGATTCATCAATATTATGCATTTCTTTCCTGGATTATCATTCTAGTCAGTCTATATAATTAATACAAACTCTATATTATTACAAGTATAATGCTTTTAAAAAAAAGGCTCTACAGTGGTTCTTTGCCTTGTAATCATACAGTAGGAGACCCAATTTAGGTGCTAAACTATAAAGAACTGTAATGGTTTTCTATTGGTTTTTTGGGGTGGTTAATGTGTTGTAAAACACTAAATAACATTAGGTGGTTCCTTTATGATTACAAGCCAGAAAACAAACACTTTAGTCATACACAGAAGTTTTACTACTCCAAAGAACCACTGGAGAAACATTATAGGTTCTTTAATCTAATTAAAATGTGTCCATTTAGCAGTATTGTTTTTGTTTGTTTGTTTGTTTGCAGAATAATCTCTTATAGCCTATATGATTTAAATACACATAGTATTTAGGTGTATGATATGACTCCAGGCCTGCAGCTCATTTGTAATTCTAAACAAACTGGATTGCAAATCCCATCATCCCATTCTGAGGAGTAGAGCCAGTAAATGGAATAACGGTGTCAACTGGTGGCTGCCTGCTGGCCTCATTCTCCAACTAATCCTGTCACAATGTCCCAGGAACGAGCACGAGCTTTATAATACCTGACTTTTTGGAGATGTCTGGATGAAGTTTTTCCAGTGTGCTGTCAGCAGTGTGAATCGGAGAGCGGGAGGCGGAGGGAGAGAGCGCGAGTCCGGCGCTGTGAGCCTGTGTGTGACGCCCCTCGATCGCGCTCCGCTCCGCTGCAGTGACTCGGCGAAGGAGGACCGTTTTATTACACTTTCCCCTCCAGTCCTAGCGGTGCTCACACACACACAAACACGCACGCACACACACGCACGCACACACACATCTGACAGCTCTCAGGACGGCCATGACGTCTCGAAGGTAAGCCGAAGGCTACATTAATAAGTGCAGGAGCGGGTAGTGATGGTGACTGTAACTGTATGAATGAATCGAGCACGACACGCAGCTCAGTCAGTCTGTAGGACTCGGTTTCTGATCCTCTCGATCTGGCCCAATATATGTAACGTTACAGTATGTGTGTTCGCTTTTGTGCAGTGTTTATAAATATCGTGTAGTCTATCTTTCCGTTTATTTCGGTTGTTTACAAACGCTTTCGCTACCGGATATCGAATATGAATATCAGCAGCGCAAAGTCACTGTAACAGTGTGTCTTGCATGCAGTTTAAACTGTGCTTAATTAGTTTACTGTGCCAGTTTATTCGGAGACTTATGGTAACGACATCCTAATGTAACTGTACATCGTGAGCTGAAATAACAGTTTTAAAACACTTTAAAGCTAGATGAAATAGATTTGAGGAAAATAATGATATTAATAAAAATAGCCTTGTTGAAAGTTATAAGCATCGCTTAAAATATCTTTAGACAGAATGATTAATATTTTTTCTAATTTAAAATATTTACAGTGGGTGATCTTGTAAAATTTCTAATTTGTAGCAATGTGTTTCTGGGTTGGGACCATTTCATACACAATAGCTACATTTGATTGGACAGCAATGACCTATTTCAAAAATAAGAGTCTCCATGTAAAGCTGCTCATCTCAAACACAAAACGTCTCTTTACGTTAAACAACGTATTTCAAACAGGGAGAGTATGAATATTTAGCCAGGTAAGCCTTGAGGAATTTTGTAACTGGTTGCATGTTGCTAAACCTCTCGGTTTTAAATTTAGCCAGGCTTTAAACTTTAGTGTATGTCTAACTTAACTGAAGTTTGCATATTCTTCTGTGACAACTTGTGACATGGTCCTTATATTTTCACTTTGAATTTTTGGTCTAAAATCACATGTAAATTTGACTTCAAAACAACATTAGCCCTATTTATTTGACTGTGAACAACGTTGTACCTTGATAGACATTGGCTGCTAATATGATTTCATAATTAGAATTTGCAAATAATTCCTCTCTAAAATTATATTATTTAGGAGAAAGTCTGAATGTGTGTATATAAAACCAACTTTACACCAATCTTAAAGTGATAGTTCACCAGCAAATGAAAATGTAGGCCTACAATTTCCTCACACTCACGTGGTCCAAATCTTTAGTTTCTTTATTCTGTTGAAGATATTTTGAAGCAAGCAATTGTAACCATTGATGTTGTACTCTATATTATTTCTTTTTTCTACTATGGAGGACAACAATAGTTTTCTTCAAAATATCTTATTTTGTGGCTTAGAACAGACTTAGAACAAGTGAAGGTGAGTAAATTATGACAAGTTTCGGTTGTGAATGAACTGTTCATTTAAAGCACCGTGAGTCAAGTGCAGTGATCTGATTTGTTTCCAAAAGTTGGCCAAATGATTCTTAATGGGCCTATTTAATTCTAAAAGGTCAAATCTAAACATGGAGATAAAACAGAGGACTTGTAAATTTCAACAAATGAATATTTAGCCAGGTAAGCCTTGAGGAATTTTGTAACTGGTTGCATGTTGCTAAACATCTTGGTTTTAAATTTAGCCAAGGTTCAACTTTTAGTGTGTGTCTAAGAGACTCATTAAAAGGGATAGTTTACCAGCAAATGAAAATGTAGGCCTACATTTTACTCACACCCAAGTGGCCAAAACCTTTATGAGTTTTTTATTCTGTTGAAAACGAATTAAGATATTTTGAAGCAAAATGAAACCTTGTAACCATTGATGACGTCTTCTATTGTATTTGTTTTTCTTACTATGGAGGATGACATAAATTGTAACTGGTTTCCAGCACTCTTCAAAATATCTTATTTTGTGTTCAACAGAAGAAAGAAACTTTAGAATAAGTGAAGGTGAGTAAATTGTGCCAACTTTCGGTTTTCAAAGAACTGTCCGTTTAAAGCACTGTGATGTAAGTCAAGTGCGGTGATCTGATTTGTTTCCAAAAGTTGGACATATGATTATACATAGGCCTTTTTATTTCTAAAAGGTCAAATCTAAACATAAATGGAGATATTGACAAGTTTATTGCATCTGCACAAAAAGCTGAAGCACGCAGATCAGTTATTGTCAGAGTTTGCACAGGTGGCCTTGGGTAAAAATGGGAAAAGACTGTTACTTTACATCAACAACATATTTCAAGATTCGGTGCTGGTGGTACAGTAGCTTCTCCTCCAGCTTTCATTTGTCAGAGTAATAGTCTGTGAGCCTTTGGCCTTTACTCAGTCTTTGCATCATCTGTTATATAAATAATTCTGCCGCCAACAATTACCATTGACTATTATTAGCATCATTAGATTATCATTACTGGTGTCCTTCTCAATCACATTAAAAGAATAGTTCACTCAAATATGTTAACTCTGTCACCATGTATTATTATAAACACAACTTTTTTTCTCTAATAATGCAGAGTAGAGATGTTAGGCAGGTTCTAAGGCTTAGATACCATACCTTCATTCCATATGTTTTCATGCTGTGATAGAGTGACCATCTTTGGAGTTGCATGAAGGGGGAAAATTCATATTAAAGCAAGAAAGTAGGTGAAGCTTGGTATTTCTTTTTGTAGAGATCTGTACTGTATGAAATCTGGTCTGATTTAACAGGACATAATGGAGGATGAATTTTTTATGTGCAAAAGTGACAGGGATCTGTTTTGCGTTAATGCTATGGAAACAGGAAACTAAACATTATTTTCATTTCAGATTTACATAGATTACATTTACAAATGCTTTTTTGTTTTTGTTTACAAGAGGTTTATTTGCATAACGGTGGCTAATAAATTTCCCTGCTGAAGATGTTTCTCCACATTTAATTCATTATCAGCCTGTGACAGGCAAAGGAGAATGTAATGTGGAAGAATTTTTCTTGTTCGCTTATCCAACCTGCTGTTTTTTTTTAGATCATAAAGCATTTTGTGTGTGTGTGTGTGTGTGTTTGTGTAAGCATGTGAATGAGCGTTTGTAGGAAAGAGGAAAAAGGAAGAGATGGCTCATGATGTGGTTATTTTTCTGGAGTCATGAAAATACGGGGTCATGAATATTTTGGTTGCATTTAAATAGATGCCTGTTTAAATTTCCACTGTACTTTGTAATCTACTCATATTTTCCCCTTCATTTACATCCATGTTGCTGTCCAAAAATTTGTGTTCAGTAAAATGATAGAAAGAAGTCTCTAATGCTTACCAAGGAGGCATTTATTTGCTTTAAAGAAATATATAGTATTTATAATGGTGGTTTAAAATATTTTAAAAAGTGGTTTAATATGTGTGATTTAAAGCTGATTTTTTAATATGCTGATTTGTTGTTTAGCAAAAATGTCAGCTGTTTATTATTTCTAAATGCCTTAAGTGTCATTTTAATGCATTCTTGCTGATTAAAATATGAATGTTCATAAAAATGATCCTACACTTTTGATTTGCAGTGTCTAAGAGTTTGACTTTTGTATGTGAAAAAGCAGAAGTGGGATAGCTCAGAAGCAGGGCTGATAGCTCAGTACTAAAAACTCAGAGACAGGAAAACTGCCTTCAGTGTGGTGAAATGAGATAGCATGTCCAAAACTTCCAGGAATTCTGCTGGTCGTGACCAAAGTTTTGCTGAGAACACAGTTTTAGTTTTTTTGTTTCTTTTTTTGGTCGCAGTCAAGCTTATTGTCCTCAAAGCACCAGGAACATCAGTTTGCATTTTCCATAGTCGTATATTTTCATTTGATGATTAGCAATTGATGCTCAACCATATTTACTAAAGAGTACTTATTATTCAAAGTGCTGTTTTCATAGAATAGGATTGGGAAATATGACCCAAAATGTTATGATATGGCGACATGGTGTCGCAATGGGTAGAACGTTCGCCTCACAGCAAGAAGGTCCTTGGTTCAAGCCTCGGCTGGGTCAATTGGCGCTTCTGTGTGGAGTATGCATGCTCTCCCCGTGTTCACGTGGGTTTCCTCCGGTTTCCCCCACAGGTCCAAAGACATGTGGTATAGGTGAATTCGGTTAGCTAAATTGTCCACAGTATAGGTGTGTGAATGAGTGTGTGTGTGGATGTTCCAGTGATGGGTTGCGGCTGGAAGGGCATCCGCTGCATAAAGCCTATGCTGGATAAGTTGGCGGTTCATTCCGCTGTGATGACCCCAGGTTAATAAAGGGACTAAGTCGAAAAGAAAATGAATGAATGAATATTATTGTTAAATATGAATTGTGTTTATGGAAGAAAATCGCAAGTACTGCAATTTCACTGGCTTTTGTGCTTGTTGATTCATTGACATGCATCACGTTTCATTCAGAAGGGCTCATCTATATGCCCTAATCCCTTCGAAGGGTTTACCTTTCAAGGTTACAGCTTCGAAGGGATGAATGGTGAAAGGGTCAAAAAAGCAATTTTTTCTTAATGAGATGATCGAGGAGGTGTGGTACAGTAGCTTCTTTACCAGCTTTCATTTGTCAGGGTAGCCTTTGGCCTTTACTCAGTCTTTGCATCATCTGTAATATAAATAATTCTGCTGCCAACAATTACCATTGACTAATATTAGCATCATTAGATTATCATTACTGGTGTCCTTCTCAATCAAATTAAAAGAATAGTTCACTCAAACATGTAAACTCTGTCACCATGTATTATTATAAACACAACTTACTTTCTCTAATAATGCAGAGTAGAGATGTTAGGCAGGTTCTAAGGCTCAGAAACCGTACCTTCATTCCATATGTTTTCATGCTATGATAGTGAGAGTCATTTGGAGTTGCATAAGGGTGAAAAAGATCGTATTAAAATATAAGAATGGACAAATCATGATAATTCTCTTTGTAGAGAGCTACACTGTATCTGATCTGACTTAACAGTACATTATGGAGGATGATTCTGTTAAAATGTTTACCTTTCAAAGTAACGGCTTCGAAGAGATGAAGGGTAAAGGGGTCAAAAAAATTTTGTTTTTTTTAAAATGTGCTTTCAACTCA